CTCCGCGGCATGTGGGATCCTCCCGGACCGGGGCACGAACCCACGTCCCCTGCATCAGCAGGTGGACTCTCAACCAGTGTGCCACCAGGGAAGCCCCCCAAGATTTGTTTTGAAATAATGAAGGATTGTGATTCTCCAAAGTTGGAAACTCTGACGTGAAGAATCTGGCAGGAATTAGGGCAAGTCAAAGCTTGTGAGACGTGGCCCTTGCCCTCAAGGAGCTCACAGTCTGGTGGGAAGTGATGAGTAAAGCTAATTACCATGTGGTAAATTCTAGGACAATATTGGCAACAGGTACCAAGCACATCCTGTGTGACCGGCCCCATGCTGACACCGCACAGATTCTTTCTCTTCATTCTTTCAGTAGCCCTATGCAGTTTGATCGTCAGGGAAACCAAGTCTGAGGCTTAGCGACTTGCTGGTAAATTTCATGGTCCGAATTCCACTCCAGTGGGTTTGCTCAGAGCCATGCTCTTCACCCCTTAAAAAGCCTTCATGCTCGGGGCTTCCCTTGTGGCGCAGTGGTTGAGAGTCCGCCTGCTGATGCAGGGGACACGGGTTCGTGCCCCGGTCCGGGAGGATCCCACATGCCGCGGAGCGGCTGTACCCGTGAGCCATGGCCGCTGAGCCTGCGCGTCCGGAGCCTGTGCTCCGCAGCAGGAGAGGCCCGCGTACAAAAAAGGCTTCATGCTCAAAGGGCGTCGAAGGTGGAAAATCTCATTGTTTGCCACAACTGGGATGCCCTGTGCAAGGCAGGCTTACCTGCATCAACTCAATAACTATGTATTCAGCACCTGCTCCTCTGGACAAGGCACTGATGCAAACTGTAGCAGGACAACCTGCAGCGATGACTATTCCTCCCTAAGGGATGCAGGTTGGGTTGGAAGGCTAGAGGGTGTGGCCCTGGGTTGGGCCATCCCGGGCTCAGATTCCAGCTCTGCTGCTCACCACCTTCACCACCTGTGAGATCCTGGCAGGATTCAAACACAGTTGGCCTCTGGAGCCTGTACTGTTACCCTTTGCATATCTCAACATCTTATCTTCCCAGCCAGATTGCAAGGTACTTCTGAGCCTCATAGTTTGCTGTTTTGCATATGACCCACAGTGCCACATGCGTTTTATATCATGGCCCAGTAGGCACATGTTATGTACACAAAGATAACAAGGGTACTTACCTCGTAACATGCAGTGCACTCCAGTGTTCTTCTGTTTCTCTGGAAAAAAAAAAAAGAAACCAGTCTTAAAAAAGAGAGCATGCCGTACAAAAACAGGTGAAACTGATCTAAGCTGTTAGAAATCAGGATAGGGGTCACTGTTCCTTACCTTAGGGGCGGGGGTCACAGAAGGGAGGTTGAGGATATTCTAGGGAAGCCTCAAGTTCTGCTTTGTGATCTGGGCATGTCCAGCTTCTGAAAATTCACTCTTACTCTGTGTATTCTTCCCCCCCATATATGGTAATAGTGCAACAGAAAGGGGGGAAATGCTGGTCTCCACCCATTAAATTGACTTCCTGACCCAGGAAGGGATTGGGACTCACAATTTGAACTACATCTTTGACCCACAAGCTGTTCAGTAATTACAGGATGGGTCAGTTCCTTAAAGCAATGCCTTTGCCAAGGTGAAAGATGCATGTCGGAGGTTTGTTTTGCCACTGCTATGAAGTAACGCCTCCTTTTTCCTGGGGCAGCCGATGCCAAGGCCCTACCGCCAGGTGAGCTTCCCGGACGACGACGAGGAGATCGTGCGCATCAACCCCCGGGAGAAGATCTGGATGACGGGCTACGAGGACTACCGGCACGCGCCGGTGAGGGGCAAATACCTGGACCCCTCGGAGGACGCGGACTCCTACGTGCGCTTCGCCAAGGGCGAGGTCCCCAAGCACGACTACAACTACCCCTACGTGGACTCCTCAGACTTTGGCCTCGGCGAGGACCCTAAAGGGCGCGGAGGCAGCGTGATCAAGACCCAGCCCTCCCGGGGCAAGTCCCGGCGGCGGAAAGAGGACGGGGAGCGCTCTCGGTGCGAGTACTGCCGCGACATGTTCAACCACGAGGAGAACCGGAGGGGCCGCTGTCAGGACGCGCCCGACTCCGTGAGAACTTGCATCCGCCGGGTGAGCTGTATGTGGTGTGCGGACAGCATGCTCTATCACTGTATGTCGGACCCCGAGGGGGACTATACAGACCCGTGCTCGTGCGATACTAGCGACGAGAAGTTTTGCCTCCGGTGGATGGCCCTTATCGCCTTGTCTTTCTTGGCCCCCTGTATGTGCTGTTACCTGCCCCTGCGGGCCTGCTACCACTGCGGAGTGATGTGCAGGTGCTGCGGCGGGAAGCACAAAGCAGCTGTGTGACGCGGTTTCCCTCCCCACCGCCCTCCATCCACAGCCCCAAGGGGACTTGTCTCCTCCATCCTCTCATCTCTGCCCGCTCCCGGGTACCCAAGGCGCCGTTCCAGCCTGGGGAACCTGCCTGGTGGACTCTGCACCCCTGCATCAGTCTCACCCACGTGTGCGCACAGTGTTCTAAGGCAAGGAACCGCCGCCTAGACCCTCGTGTATTATTAACAATCTGTAATCAAGCTAACCGTCTCATCATACAGGTGTTGATTTCATGTCCTTCCTGCCCACCTCTTCCAGTTCCAAGGCGCCTTCAGTGGGAACTGCTGATTTTTTGGTGGGTTTTGTCGTTGGCTTTTCCAGGAGCTCCGAAGACCATCTTTCTCTTGGTTGAGCTTGCCTGTGGCTAACGAGTTTGCTTCCTCAGGTTCCTGTGGAAATGGAATGTCAGAATGATGAAACCTTGCCAGATGTATTTTAACCTGCAGTCAGTTATTATGTATAGGAGGTGAGCTAGTTAACGAACTTCTACCACAAAACGAGATCGCTTTAACTTTTCTTAAAGCCAAACTTCCCATGTAGGCTGCAGTTTCTACCTTGAGCCCATCATCATCTTGTCTCCCCACCCCTGCCCCCCAAAAAAGTCGGTCAGTTACTCACTGATGCAAAGCATTCTCTCGTAAAATGACTGAGAACTGAGCCTTAACTTCAGATTAACTTGCGAGAATCAGGAAAATTCTTTAAACTGCATCGCATCCTCTCAGACCAGGGCTAGAAAGGGGATTCCGGGTTTCTCCGAGCCTCCCTGGTTACCCCTAAAGGAGAACTTTTAAAAATTATGTCACCACCACTTCAGAAGAAACCGCTAATGAAGTAAGAAATTTTGCTCATTGTTTTGCAAACCAAATAGTCTCTCTTCAAACCAAACCAGTGTTCTCCCGAACACGGTCCAGTTGAGAAACGGTAAAGGTTGTAAATAAAACTTACGGGAGCTTTTTTCCCCCCCAGTGGCTATTTTCTATTAACTGGGGGAAATTTTAAATGTCATCAATTTGAGGAGTGGTGGGTTGCATTTTGTTCATGGGTTTGTGTTTTTGTTTTCATTTTGGACTCAATTTCACGTCACCAAATTCTTCGTTTACACTTGGGAAAAAACAAGGCCATATGTAATAAACCCTTCCGATGCCTAAGTGTCTTTCTCCTGCAAACCCAAACTTGCCACTTTGGGTGCACAGATGGTTAGGTCAGCAGGCTGGGTCCACCTGTCGCCTTGCCACGTAGGAGGCTTCTAATTAGCTGGAAAAGAGTATTTTTCTAATATATTGCAAGGAATAGCCAAATGTTACTGCAGAAAGAAGGAAAGTGAAGACTGGTTACCTGTACCTAGCACAGTACAATCAGAACGCCGTGGAGACCACACGGGACAGGTTTGTCAGCGCTGGCTCTTCCCACCATGATCTTCCTGTGATTATTGCCAGCTGAGTGCATGGCCTCATTCCTCTCTCCCCACTCCCCCCCATCCCTTCTCAATTGCGCACAGGACATCAGCCTCCAAGGAAAGGGACTTTTTTTTTCTAGTCTGCCCATCATATTGGGAAAGTGCTAGCCACGCTTACCTTCCTGGGAAGGTTTTCAGCTCACCTGAGAGCCCTTTGCATTTCTTTATCAGATCACCGATGTAAATACCCAGTGTGCTTATGAGTTTGTTGGTAGACGTTTTCGTTTGTCGAAGTGACTGGTTTTGGGTCTTCCAGTTTGGGAAAGGAGCAGAGAGCTGTTAATCTGGTGATGCAAGAAAAGAGCCACTTCCCAGCCTGGAGAACATCTAGAAACCTTCAGCCGGCCTCCAAATGCTGTCGAAAGACCATCTTCTCCCCCGTCCTGAGGCATTTTCTCAGGGTCTTTCTCAAGGTCTCCTCTCTACAAAGCACAACACTAATGTATGTTTTGTTAGACCTCAGTTCAAGCGTCCCTATTTATTTCAGTAAGAATACACCTATCCCAGCCGCTTTTGTTTGCCCCCTCTGTTTATTCATTATCTGTTTCTATCTTCCTTTACCCCTTGTCCTTTTCCCCCCCCTTTGAAGAGTTAACGCTAGTGGATCTTACTCCGCGTATCCTTTTTGGTTTGCGTAGAAGGCACAAGGACAGCCATGGGGACATTTATGTAAATACGTCTCTAATTGCCACACTGCAGCCAAACAGTGTGTAGTATTTTCCCAGTCAGCTTTGCCATACTGATGTCAACCATCTAAGAGAAATTATTCAGATTTTATTTTTGTATCTGTGGTAACAAAACATTAACCAAAAGATTTTCTGTTTGGAAGCTTTCCCCGAACCTCCCCCAACACCCCCCCCCCAAAAAAAAACCCACCAAGCTATTTGCTCACATTAACAAATTAAAGTGCCTGAAGCATAATTCATTCTTTACCTGTATACTAAAAACCCCGTTGTATTGATTTTTTTATAATAAGCCTTTTTACCTCTGTGTAAAAAATATATATACAAGTGTATGATGTACATTTTAGTTCTTAACTTTTTTTTATGGTTTCTAATATGTATGACCAATGTAGCCATTGCTTTAAAATGTACCATGTAAATATAAACACATCCTATCAGATCGCTGGCTTTGGGATGTTTGTCTGGAGACAGGGTGGCGTTTGAGCCTCTGCGGACGTGGGAGCTCTCGCACACAGGATGGGAAGGGGTTTCCTTTCGAGGAGGATGTGTGGACACCGGTCTGTTTTTGAGGCCCTTCCCGCCTCTGGTTATGTCATATTCCCCGGGGGAGACTGCAGCTCCTTGGGCTCAGATGCCTCAAGTGAAAAGAATGCTGTATCACCGCCCAGGGAACACCCCCTCTTCCTCGACCTGGCTTCCCCCATGCGTGCTCCACAGAGGGAGCCGCTGTACATCCTCCGGGTTGTTTCCCACTGAT